TTTTTATTCGTTAAGATAAACACGATATAGAGATTTCCGACACACTTCTACTCCGACAGATACGATTTACGATCTCTATGATGATCCACGAGACACACCTGACGAAGAGTAGAACCACACTGAGCTGGTGGCTGTCGCGAGTATCCCTCCTCCGGCCTCTGCCCCCCTTCTTCATCGTGTGTCCTTTCTCTTCCTCTCTACCGAGCAACCCTATCTGACCTTTTCTTGCCTCTGGATCTGCTTTGACAAGCTGGGAAGCCTAATCCAGTATTTTTTCCCATCCTCTTTGAAAAGACCTTTGAAGAGAGTGCCGCGGTGTATACTTGATAGGAATAATACAACCAAGCGGAATAAAAATGAGAACCAAGCAATGCACGTATGTCCATATTTAGTCTATTACTAATAGTAGAAATCTTGAATCTACAACGCTGCACGTATATTCATATTTAACTCTATTACCAGTATTAGAAATCTTGAATCTACGATTGACTAATTTGGAATCGGTTTGTTCTTAATAAAAATTAGATAAAATGACAGTTTTATTATTTAATTCCTATAATACTCGAGTTAATCTTGGTAGCCAAACCGTAAAAGAAAAGTATTATATATTTTCAAGATTAATTAAAACTGCGCTTTCAACTTCTTTCGCCTCTCATTATTCTTTCGTTGACTTCAAATGCACACTTTGCTACGTAGTTTAGAAGGATCTAAGGCATTCTACGGTAAAAAAGTTCAAGCTTATATATATCATCCGCGTTCGCGAAGGCACGGACTGTTTTCAGCGCCTTGGCGATCCCTCGCGGCTTTAACGACGCGAGCCGTCGTGTTCGCCGATTCTACCGGCGCGGGTTTATGGATTACGGTGCTTCCAACACCATAAAGTCTGCCAGAGGAGATCAGCAGACGCGCGCGTGAGTCACGAAGGCAGAAGGAAACGACCGCGCGCGTCCTGCATGTATATATATAAACGTTAATATCGCTCATTCTCCTTATGACGCGCGCCGAGCCGAGGAGTGCAAGGGCCTCTCCGGTAAAGGTGAAACCGTTAACCGCATCCCGACCGATGTGGATTCCTCTAATCTCCCCGGCCCTTAATCATCATTGTTCCTGGAGAAATACCACGCAATACATCGTGGAATTTAAAGATCCCGACGCGGCCTGAGAAAATCGGGATCACGCGATCGCTGATGGCATCGCTCGCGAAATCACACCATTTTCGCGTTTCTCGCGGAATACGGTCCAAGTATTGCGTCCGATAGGCGGATTCCCCGCGGAATGCGGTCACGTTGTGGAACCGCGGCGAGTGTGAGAAAGTCGCCGGAAAGAATTCCACCTTGGAAACAGATTGATTTCCGTGGCGTCGGGACACTCGTCATTTTATTTTCCAGCAGTTTCTTACGGCTCAATACGAAAATATTGAAAAATGAAAATTCCGTCAAATTTTACTACCACTAAAGAGAGATCAACTTTGAGTTTTGATCGACGAGTTTAAATAAAAGCATTTTAGAGATTCTCATAGTGGTCGTGCTGTGTGTAAAATAGAAATAAATATATGCGCATCTATTCGTATAAGTATCATATATTCATTAATGTCATCTGTTTCATTATTATTATTAAGCGTCGCGTGTTTTCTTATATTGAGTCCAACTACTCGCTTAGATTACTTGTCATCACGTCGACAGATTATGTCACCGCATAAATCAATGTTCCAGTTTATGTCATGAAATATACGGGACAAAAATCGAAGTCTATAGCATCGTGTTTCTGGGGACGAAGGGATTGACTCGACGATCCGTAAATTATATGCGGACGAACGTTGTCGCGCGAGCATAAATTATGCACGCGCGTGTTTCTCGGCGATGTCGCCGTTCTCTTCGTCATCCTCCGGTGGCACATCGCGCGTTCAGCGCGTTGTACCCGCGTCCTCTCGAGCCTTTTGTTCGTACGCACGCGTTCGATGCATCCGCGTGATCGGCGTGACTCGCATCACATTCGCGGTCGCCTCATTGTTCGTACGGGCGATGTGCGCAACTCCAGATACTCAAGGCGAGAAGCGTCGTCGGATACTCGAATACAATCGGACGCAACCCGTTTGAAAGCCATTGGTATGCAAGAGGCGGAATTAAAGTGACGAAATTAGGGGAACCCCATGTATTTCTTTCCTCCCTCTTTCCATCGTGATACACACGCGGTATACAGGACGCGAGTGACTCACTCCGTGCTTCACAGCGCGTGCCACGAACCGTGCTGCGTCATGTGGAAATCTCTCTGGATATCATTCGGAACTTTCGTAGAATTTTCCTTGTCCAATCTATTTTCATGATCCCTCGAAAAATTTTCAGTATTAAAAGAATAGACGATAGAGTTTTTTAATTTTGACAGCAACACTAGTCAACTTTAACAATATATGCTCTAACGATAGATTTCTCTGCTTAGCTTTCTGAAAATTATAGTGTTAAATTGAGAATATCTAGAAAATAATAGCATTGCTGATTCAATGTCTTTCTTTTTGTTCGAAAGACAACATGCCCAGGGAATCAAGTCGTTTTATCCATATAAAGCCCCGAGAAAATGATTGATATTCAGGGAAATGCTCGCGTGCCGACAAACTTTCTGCGCGCATTGCGGCGTTATAGTCACTTCCGTTCGTGGTTTCCGTTTCGCGTTTTTCTGTCGACGATAAAACAATGGCCCAGATGTAATTTAATCTAATTCAATAAGTAAACCTAATTTATTCTTTAAGTTTTATCTTCCAGTTTTCTGGGAGAATATCTAAACGTATTTAGATACTTTAAATATGAAAAGTCGGCGCGACAGCAGAACAAACTCGAGAGCTTAAAAGTTAATCCATCCCCTATCGTGTTATATTTATAGATTTGCTCGCGGTGAGCTCTAATTAAGAGAGCCCGTGAAGGATGAATAAATTAACCTTCTGATTCACTGAGACTAACGATCTGCGCATTGATATGCGACTGCTAATTTATTGCCAGCGTCGACGTTTTTCGTAGCACGACGAGGAGAGACGTTCGAGTAGTCAATTAAAGAGTTCCATTCTTCTACTTTAATTAACAAAATGTGAATTCTAGGTATTTATATATTATCAGTTTTGTAGAAAACCTGATATTTTTAAAGTTAATCCAGCGTTTTTAGAGTGACGCAAGAGTGTCATGACACTCATGACTATTTGGTTAAAAATGTTAAAATTAAATCTCCCCGACTATCATTTGTGTGCAATGTAATATGTTTCGTGTATATCTGTCGCTACATGTCCTCCATCTACACCAGGGAGTTGACAGCAAGTAATACGTGATAACGTCGCTTCCGGTTGTGGGGACGCGAAACAAACGCCAAGCAAAAGCGCAGAAAATTACTACTACTTTGTCGCGTGCGCGCAACTGCATTTCGTTCACCTGGTATATACACCTGGCCAGGTCATGACCCTTCCTCTAAAAGTATATGATTAGTGTTTAATGAGTCAGCTTCGGGAATATTATTAAATATTTAATAATTTCCATGATATTGAATAATATTCCCAATAATGACTCATTAAGCGTTAAAAGAAAATAAAAGCGTTAAAAAAAAAATAAAGCGTTAATTAATTCAAAATATTAATTTTAATGAAATTCCGTGACATTTTCTTGTAAAACAATATTTACCGAGGCATGAATATTGAAAAATAATCGTTCACAGAACGTTACCTAATTTTTTTCATTACGCCAGCAATTCTGTATTTTGCATTACGTAAACAAATGAATTAAAAATTCAACAAGGTGCAGAATCAAATATTCGCAATGCGGGTAATTTTATGACTTTTTCCACTCTCTCGTCTCGCTGTCGAAATCCGGAGAACTCATAAACGTGGCCAGGCGTTAAGTGTTACCTCCGCAAGTTTCACTTTTCCTTTTACGCGCTATTATTATCATTGCTTTCGCACAAGTGTAGGTGGAATTTCCACTTTTCCGCAAATCACGTTCTATCGCTCTTTTTTTTCCTTCTACCTTTCTATCTCACTTGTTCCCCTTTCCCATTATCTCCCGTCATCGACAAAATATATATAAAATTATTAACTGTTATATCGAGGAACGCAATTAATTGCTATCAGTCAGCCTGCAGTCTCCATTAAAATGTCACTAGCTGCTTAAGCATAAACAAGTCGTTTACCTCATTTTTAGCCACTTTTATAGTCTCGCAGTCGGATTCGACGTAAAAGATGGAACTCATTTCTGGACGGAACCACATAGTTCTCGCTTCTCCCTTTCTGAATAATTTATTAACGCGTAATCAGCGAGTTTCTCGTTTCCATCGCCGTTTTAAACATAAAAAAGATACGCAATCGCATCACTATACACTCCACGAATATTTAGCGTGAAATTATTCCATCGTTATATCATCAATCTTTTTCGACAGTATTTTCGACAATTAAAACAGTCTTCTTATCTTCGCATCGTAAATCACTTTTCCTCTTCCGAAATTTATCGTTCAAGAACGTATTTACTTCCGCCCCCTGTGTTTTTATCTAATCACCGGCAAGCCTCTTCTCTCAGTTTAAATCGTTTACACAAATATCGGATGCTGAGCAATTCAAGATTTTAATTACATGAGAGGCACTTTTGAACGGGACATCTTACCGTCGCGGTGGTCCCGTGAAAACTGGAAAGCGAAACTGTAATCACGCACCTTCCCCCGTTTAAGTACGCAACGCGTGTCCCTCCCTACTCTATCACAAGTACTCTCTCTTTCTCTTTCTCACTCCTCGTCATCCCTATCTCCCCTTTTGCCAGTCGATTATCTCTCAACCCGCATTAATTCCTTACTCAACGAAAGCAGCTGCAAAAGGCTCGTAACGAGTGAAGTAACGCCAGAATTTCAATTGTATGTATGTACGATGGCATGCATTTAAATTAACTGATTAAGGCGAGAAAATGTTTCCTTAACGCAAAATGTAAAGCTGTAATTTGCTCTTTCCCGACGGATTTTTTTGGAGAAATTAATTTCACAAAATGACTGCTGGAATGGAATTGTTAACAACGGCGGAACCTCATTTTATTCCAGGGTAGAAAGTTAACCCCTGTACACAAATCGATAATAATCAATCTATATTACAAATAATTAATAACTGTTCTTAATAATCCAATAATTCATTACACTAATTGTAAGTTTGGAGTGACGGTGCCGCATATAGAGTGCTTTGCGAATTTCAAGAAGATCGCGCGGCTATGCTTTTCAGATATTCCGGTTATTGTCCGCAGTACCGATTCAGTTGCGGTGAAACGTATGCAAAAGCCACGCATAAACTGCTGCTCGATCCTACGATTAACCATGCGAGAACGCTCGTCCTGGCGAATTGTGCGGCCGAAGATTACGAGGTGAACGATTCGCAACGCTAAGCCTTAAACGATAACGCGGCAAATGAACGATAAGATTATACAAGATAAGACAATTTATATAACTTAGAAAGCTTTCGAAATTTTCCTAAAATAAAAAATATCTCAATTATTCTACGACGCGTGTATCCTAAAAATAACTTTTTATCCGTTGCCGGAACAACATTTGCGTAGGCATGGCGACCGTCCGAGAGCGATATAAGAGTGGTCAATACTCGTTTCAAGAGGACCGATCCCCTTTTCGTTCACCCCATGTTGCCAGGATACGAGGGTGCTTATCGGTTCCTTGTAACGCTTATCAGGACAAACTTTCGATACGCGCTGAAAATTATCACGAATTTGCGTCGCCGCGGAACAGGTTTTCCTTGTAATTCAACCGATTACTGAACATTGCGTAGGTTTCGTACCGGGAACGAACGATGGACTCGGACAAAGATACGCGGTGCGCGCGACCGAAGGTCTCGCCGACTTCGAGCGACAACAATTGCGGAGTAAGGCGGCTTTGGATCGCCTGAGGAGGACGATCGGCGTGCAATGTGGACAAGCCGAGCCGAGGAATTTGGAGGAACGTCTGGTGAGGGAAAAAAGAGCTACCATAAAATCGTCAAGATATCAAAGATTAAAAAAATAGAGCAATATCTTAATTTTCAATAATTTAATTCTTATTACAGCTAATTAAGACCCAGTTTAAATTGCCCTTGCTCACTGTGCGACCTGAATATGTGACAGCGACGAACAATTTACCATTAGACAAGAAGTGCGAAATATCGGAAAACTATACATCCTTGTTTTATATATGAAATAAAATTACTAAATTATACTAATTGTGTAAAATATAAAATATAATTAAATATAAAAAATAATTAAATTGAATTTGTCGAATAATATTTGCGTAAATACAAAACAGTTTAATCAATAAAATTTTAAATTCTTATCACCATTAAGGTAAACGTTTGTTATAACTTGTTAAATCAAATTTATTGCAAAACGACAAAGTAATTGTATGTTCTATATTAATGAAGTATCGTTCTCAATTGTTTCTGTAAATTGACAAATTTACCTTCTGTCATTGAATGTCATAATTCGCAGTTCATAAACGTATCTCGTTTCCCAATTTCCAAACGACTATAATAGTAATCTAATAAAATGAAACTTCCAGACAACAAAAATCCCGTGTGGTATTCGTTCATCCGCGAAAACGCGAGAAGTAAGCGACGAATTGTAAAATCGTGTTTACCTTACAATCAGTAATATAATTGTATGAAGTTTAATCAGTTAATATTAAATTTATGAAAACAATTTATAATCTTATAAATTAATTTATGTAAAAACATCAAAAAGTTTGATACTTTAATTTATATTTTCGTAAAATATAATTTAAAAAAAATACGCCAGACACTTTTGGAAGAAAAACATAATTTGTCGTCATACTAAATATACTTTGTAAAGGATACGCGACTCATATTCCCCACGGATACAAATATTCCGAAATATCAATCGTCCCGTCATCTGATAACGTATTATACAGTTTCGCAAATTGTCGAAAGGGTACAAAATATAGAATAATGACTGATCTTTATCCTGATCCGCCGTTACTTGTTCAGTCCACTGAGATCTACCATAAAAACGTCGGAATGATACCGAACTATCTTGGATATATTCCCGGAGCAGTGTTCAGGTAAGTTTAATTAATTAATTAAACACAACTAATTAGATTATATGAGAATATGAGGATAAATATGAGGATCGGAAGATCCTAAGATGTATCAACCCGGAGATCTAAGGATTTAAAAATTCAAGATCTAAGAATGAGGAACTGGATCTTAAGAATGAGAGTCCGAGGAAAAAGGACTCAGGAATTTGAGAATCCGAGGATCTAAATATAAAAAACATCACAGTTTTTTCAACAACGTCTTTACTTTGTAGATGCGGTAAAACATTCGGAGCTGATTCAAGAGATGTGAAACTATGGCTTCGAAAAGACTCCGACCTGTAATTTATCTTCACAACAGTATCGTTTATTCAATCGATTACTGCCAATCATACTGACCACAAAACCACTTAATTGAACCATACATCACGTCAAAATATATAAAAATTTACAATATCCAGATATATCCAGATGAATATAAATTTAATATCACAAATATAACGGGAATAAATCATTTCATCATCAATTCTAGGCGATAAATATGTATAAAAATTGCAGTAAGTCAGCGTAATTAGAATTCCTTCATAATCGTATCAAGTGAACTTTTTACACACCTAACGTATTCGAGCAGTACGAAAGCTACGCGAAAAATTAGTGCAGTGTGCAAGACACTTATTAATAGTCATCGAATATACATACACATATATACATATGTATAGTTTCAATTATTGGGACGCCCATTTCTTCAAGATATCGGCGGCTGCTTTCAAATTTTCGTCTTTCTGTTAAAACGCAATATTCGATATTTAACAAACGCCGAAGTCATTTGCTGTGAAAGTTATTGCACTTACCTTCGCGAGTCGGCACCTTACCTTTATAAAACAGTACCGCACATAGTCTTCCGCTAGACTTTTATGTTCAGGACCATAAAACGCCGAAGGAGGAATACCTTGAAGACCGACGTTCTTCGTCATCCACTTAGTGAATCTGTAGTCCTTGTTCTCGTCCGTCTCCTCCTGCAGTTTCACTTTGTTCTCCAACGCGGACCAGTTAGCAAGCATAAAGTATCCACCCTCGGGTATCGTTGGTATCATGCCAACTTCTTGAAGAAATTTAGCCATGAAGTCGCGTTTCGGTAATAATTCCATTGCCAGACTGTGGAAGTAACATTCCGGCTGCCCTAAGCGTTCCATTTCCAATTCGAATCCGATAGCTACCGCTTCCTGCAATTAAAACACAAGTAATTCATTAATTTATTTGTCAGAGTAAAGTTTATAAACTGAATAATTTTGCTTAATTCGTTACCTGAGTCGGTGTGGTACAGGTATACACGGTGTTCTGATGTACAACTTGCAGATTGTGCAATAAATTTGCTGGTCCATAAGCCCAACCTATTTTCCAGCCTGTAACGCTGAACGTTTTGCCCGCTGATCCAATCGTGATTGTACGTTCATACATACCGGGCAATGTTGCTAATTAAAATAATAAATTTGTTTTAGATTATTCTAAGGATTCTATATCGCGTATGACACATTTTGTAAGGTAATTCTTACCGATTCTTATGTGCTTGTACGGCTTGTAAACGATATGCTCATAAACCTCATCAGAAACCACAAGCACGTTCCATTTCTTCGCGAGATCAGCAATAAATTGTAATTCGTCCAGCGTAAAAACTTTTCCTATGGGATTGTGTGGAGTGTTGAGGACGATACCTTTAGTTTTCTCGTTGAAGAGACTTTCCATTTCTTTCCTATCGAATACCCAATCGCCAGAGGTGACCGTGCCCGATGTAGATTTCTGCGAAAAGGTAATATTATATATATCTAATGCAAAACACTTATTCCTTGCTTCTATTATTCAAAATTCTTACCGGTTTTAATGCTATGTATCTGGGTATTCCTCCGGCACTCTGCACCATAGGTACGTAACAATCGAAGAAGGGTTCAATAATGATCCACTCATCTCCGGGATTAGTGTGACCTTGCAGAGTGGCATATAAAGCTTCGTAAGCACCAGCAGTGATCAACACTTCCTTGTTCGGATCCAAATCACGGTCAATAAGCTTGGAGTAAAACTTTGCAACTGCATTCACTAATCTTGGATGACCCTGCAACATTATTTGTAACAAAATTTATCATACAATGGATAGATAAGATAAAATTAATTATTATCATTGCTAGTTACTGATAATAATTACAATTACATTAACATTATTGTGTGTTAATGTTTTATAAAAAAATTATTCAAATTAATAAGAAGTGTGTGAGGTAATTCGAAAGTCACAACGATTGGAATATCCGTTACTTACAAATCCTCTCGTATACTGTTGCAAAAGAGGATTGTCACTTTTGGCGATAGCGGCCAAGGCATTCGTCACGTTTTCCGGTGCGTGATAGTCAGGAAAGCCCTGACCCAAGTTGAGTGGCTTGTACTGCAAAGCGAGCTGGATGTATTCGACCCTAACCAAACAAACATAACCAATAACCGATACATAGTAATATACGTTTTAACGTGAGTCTGTTTATTGCTATTTGTATAAAAAATAAATATATGTGTAACTATAAAGTAACGTTTACTTACCAGACAGACTTTTCGTTGCCCTTCAAACGATTCGGTAAATCAAACTTCGACATTCCGGCGATACTCCTAATATTTTTTAATGTACTGAATGAAACGGTCTTACTTGTCGTCAAGAAACAAGCTCTCGTTAGCATCTAGAGGCGCACACAAGCACAATATCTTAAAATGAATCGTGTCCTGTTATATTAATTTAATTGCGCACGATAATTATTATTTTAATTGATGTTTGAAGTTTGGACGATGTCAATATAGATACATATGTACAACTCGGAATACGGAACTCTACTGAATTTAACTGAACTCTACCTTATTCTCACGAATTTGGCTGGAGTGTAAATTATCGCAACAATTGTCGTCATATTTTTTGCTTTGCAAATACTGCAAATTATCGCGAACGATGATAAAAGCTTACGTAATCCGTGTTATGGCGGGAAAGTTAATTTTCGCGAAAACAAGATGTCGCTATTTTTAATCAAACCCAACGCATCGTTCGTAAATTAATAATAATAATGTTCATTTCTATCAATTGTAAATTAACTTGAATCTCAGTTTAACTTATTTTTCATCTTTATCTAGTTGGAAGAATTAGAAAAAGATAAAGAACAAGTCAAATGAAAATTAAAGTTAATCTATAAAGGCCATTGCACGTAACAAAGTTTTAGTCGTAATCGTAAGGTCATAAGAAAATAGACCAATCACACTCGATTATTCTTCGAGCGCGAGGAGAATAATCGACTGTGATTGGTTAATTTTCTTACGGCCTTACGATTATGGCTAAATCTTTGTTACGTGCAATGGCCTTAATAGACATAAGTGATTTTGCCAGTTGAATTAACTTATTGCCAATAATTAACATAATCTGCTTGATTGTTCCTTAGCCGTGTTCTGTAATTCTTATCTTGTAAATAATTTGACTATCTTCGACTACAACTTATTATTGTAATTTTTTCGAGGAATTAGAAAAAGATAAATATAGTATAAAGTTAAACCAATAAGATTAATTCAAGTTTACCTGTATTGATGATAGAAATGGGCGTAATCGTTATAATTATTTCGATTAACTGATTTTATAAGTTGTTATAGTTAACCAGAGCGGAACGCGGTATATACATATATATGTCGTCGCGAGAGTGAAGGTCGTTGAGGAATAGAAAAGGCACGTACTTAATTTCGCTGATTTGTCGCGCTAGGCGAGATGAAACGACGAAGCAATCGAAGCTCGAATAAACGGGACGAACGCAAAGCGAGAAACGGAGCAGGCGAGCACGTCGACGAACTTCCGGTTTCTTTTTGATAATGATAACAGGCACCCGATCCTCACAATCAGTCTATTGGGTTCGATATGGCCAAGACGACGATTTTCCGCCGAACTCGTGCGCAACAAGTGTCGTCCGACGAAAGTGCGCGGATTCGGGGAAAGAAGTATAGTAATTAAAACGGACACGCGCGCGTGACGTGAATCCACGCCATTGGTCGACGGCTCTCGGAAAAATTAATATCGATTATTGAATCGCGCGTCGAATAAAGCGCGCGCGACAATCCGATATAAGCTCCGCCATTTTCGTGCCGCGCCATTTTCGCCGACACTCCTCCCGGGATTGACCTGATTTATTGATGTAAATAAATAGAAATACGTGACACGAAATAACATATGACAGAAATATATCTTACTGGAACAACCGCGCGATCGCGAGGGAGATTTTGATTGGAAACACCATATAATACCGTCGCGTTTTTCCGTTTTCGAAGTTTCGCGGAGCGCGATTTCTCGTCGCGATTCGCGTGACTGTACCGTGTTTGACTCTTGTTCGCCATCGTTTGTTCCGATCTTCCTTTTTATCTTTTGGAACGGGCGCTACTTACCGAGAGCACGAAGAGAACCGTGACGCCTCGCACGACGGACATGTTCGTTTTTAGTGTGCTCTCAATTCGAACGAAATGTAGCAACGAGTTGACAAAGGTCAACCACTTTCACTTTAGCTGTTCACTTTCGATCTGGCGACCGCCGATCGTCGCA